TAGGAATCATTGTTTTTTATAAAATTATAAATAAATTCATTGTTTTTCAGCAATTCAAACAATTCATTCATTTACCAAATTCACATTCATCAATCAATTTAAAAGATTGATAATCAGCCATTAATTTGAAGTTTAATAATTTTGTGTTACTTATGAGACATGCAACAAACACTAGCCATAACACTTGGAGCAAAAACATCAAATATTAAAAAGGAAAACAAATGATAAACTCATATGAATACAATCACATATAATCTGAATAACATTGAATTTTCAATCCCTGAAATAAAGTGATTGCATCTTGAATTTATAGAATAAAAAATAGAATAATAAGATCCAATATTATATCTACAATAGTCACACTACATCAGAGCTTGGAAAATCCAAGAACAGATGAATGGTCTAGCTCTTGTTGAACCTATAACTTTCTTTGATAAAAAATTAATTCATAACAAACTAAAGAACAATTGAATGATACTTAAATGCATACTCCAGGTTCAACCTAAATCATGATGTCACATAGGTTTTAATGGTGGAATGACCAATCATGATGTCATACTCCAGGTTCAACCTAAATCGATGTACAAGCAAATCAATTGAATGATACTTAAATGCATAAATTCCAATATTCATTGATTCAGATAGAACAAACCAACAGAAACAGGATAAAAAAACATAAAATAGATGGTCGATTTTAATTCATGGCATATAATCCAAAATTAAAGAACAATCCCAGATCGATTGACAGAGGAAGGGACATACCTATTTTCTCGATAGAAAAAGGAAGCGATGACATCGATGCACTACAAGAATATCGACCTTTAGCGGCGACACTATTACCGACGACAAATGCTAGAGTCGCCGCTAAAAGTCCATGTCGCCGGTAATAGTGTCGCGGCTAAAGGTTTATCACCCGAATCCGCATTTTCCCCCACTGTTAGATCCCAGCCCTTCGATCAAGTATCTAATCCAACGGTTGGGGTCCCTTATCCGCACAAACCTAATACCGGCGACATTTGTGTCGCCGCTAAAAGTCTAAAAAGTCGCCGCTAATAGTTACCTAAAAAATGACGCGGTACCCTTCCCTCCAGATTGTCGCCGCTATTGACTTGTGTCGCCGGTAAAGCCCTAGTTGTCGCCGCTAAAGGCTCTCGCAGATAAAAAAAACACACGCAGATTGCTCATTTCTTCCCATTTTCATTTTGTTTGCTGCTGCTATACGTTGCGCCTCTTCCAAGTTCCCCCGATTTTGTGTTCAATTAGTTGATTCCAACAACATATCTCCCCACATTGTGTGAGATTAGGGATTAAGGGTGGTTAGGGATTCTTGGGACCGATTTCTAGCTTCATCTATTGAAGAAAGGTAAGTTGAATTTCTTGTATCTCTTTGTATTTGTATGTTAATTTCGATTTCTAGCTGCATTTGATGATTAAATTGCATGAAATTGTTCAACTTCAGTGTTTTTGGTGGTGTTTTCTTTTGGGTTTAACGGTGAGGGTATTTTTGGGGTGAAGACCAATTTTTTCCGGCTACATATCCGTTGATTTCCGCCACTACAGGTTCTATTATTTCATTTTTTGTGAATTTGGTATTTGTATGTGAAAATTATGTGAAAATTGTCATATGTGAAAATTGTGTGTATATTTGATATTTGTATGAACATATGTGAATTTGGTGTATATATGCCAATGTATGTGTGTTTGATGTATATGTGTTTGATGTATATGTGGTATATGAGTATTTGGTAGAAGTATATATATGATGTTATTATCTATATATACATATATATATATATATATATATTTATATATATATCATATATATATGTGAAATTATATTTGTTTTTTGTTATAAGTCGGATGTTATTGTGTGTGTATGTGAATGCATGTATGTTTTTGTTGTAAATGTGGTATATGAATGTGAAATTTGTGTATTTGGTATAAATATGATGTTATTATCTATATATGTGAAATTATGTGTATTTGGTTTAAGTAGGATGTTATTTTATGTGTATGTGAATGTATTTGTATCTGGTGTATATGTGGTATATGTATGTGAAAGTATGTGAATTTCATGCTCTTATGTATTATGTAAAAGTATGTGGTTTTGGTATAAGTAGGATGCTATATATGAAAAAAAAAATTATTGTTATAATTGGAAAAAAAAACACAAAAAAATGTTATAAAATTGTTTAAAAACTTATATACAAATACTAGAAAGTTTCTAGTTTCTTCCCAAGCTAACCCCAAATTAACCAATAAGTTCTATAGTTAACTTATAATCTTCAAATTAACTTATAATGTTATATTTCTATAGTTTCATATTTATATTTTCATGTCTTTTTTAGTTTTAAAATTTTTTATTTGCAACATATTTATACAATGTTATAAATAAAAAATATATATATATTTTAATCTCGACGGTAAAAGAGAACAATACAACAACATAATATAATTTTTTAAAATACAATGGTATAATTTAAAAAAATAAAATAAAAAATGTTATAAATAAAAAAATATAAAAAGGTACAATAGTAAGAAATGTTTTTTATGGATATATCAAATTATTAATTTTTCTTTATTTAATATTATATTCATTAAAAACTAATTGCTAAACATATTAAAAGAAACAAACAATTTTTTTTTTCAATAATCATGGGTATATTTGTACATCTAGTATAAATAAACAAACGTGTGGAAAAAATTGATTTGTTGGATCTTTGACCCTTTTATTTAATACTTACAACTTTTGCCTATATAAATTACAAGTAATTGTAATTAAAATTAATTAAAAAAAACGCATAAATAAAAAATTTTAATTTAATTTTTTTTATTTTTTTATTTTTTTATTCTTTTAATTGTAAAAAAAATGTAGATTGGAAAAAAAACAATGTTAATTCTGTATACTAAACTCTAAACACAAAATTATGTTTTAGCAACATCATGTCTATTGATAAAAGCTGGACTACCAATCCATATCATCTCGAGTTCCAAGCAGGACTCAGCATGTACTTTCAAAACATTCATATAGTCATTGTTGATGTAGAAAGTGCAACTGAAGTTCCTCCGTCAACTGGTAGAGTCAATGATGTTTCTGATTGCGAGACTGATTACGATGAGACCGATTCTGATTATGATACCGAAGAAGACACTGAAGGATATGAGGAAGATTCTTATTAGAATAGTTGTTATGTAATACGTGTTTGTAATATGAACTTTATTTGGATTTCTAGTTTAAATAGAAATGTTTATTCCTATGTAAATGTTTATTTCTATGTAATGTGTATTTGTAATAAAAATTGTATTTGTATATCTTATAATTTTTCAGGAAATGATGACAATATGGCTTTTGTTTATATATACCATGACTGTTGTTATGGGTCGTGGACACGGGGGTGATGGAGCTGAGGACCCACCTCTCCCAGGTGGTAGAGGTGTTGGTCATCACGAGCAGGACGGTAAGTCTTATTATGAATTTTTATTTACTATTTTTGTTCAGTTATTATAAATTAAATACCGTTTCTAATAATTTTTAATTACATTTGTAGTTGAGCAACGTGCACGAAGGAAAGTTCGAGGCAAAGCGAAAAATATAAAGCTTGAAAAAGCAATCTTACGGAACCAGGGCAAACCGATTAGCATGAAATATGATAGGGATATCACATTTGATCCCGTAGGAGAGCGGAAAGACATGTTTTCCCGAGAAGTTGGAAAAACAATGTGACACATGATCCTTTTTGATAAATGGACTTGGAAAAAAGTTTCCCCTGCAATACAGGACACCGTATTACAACATTTAGCGGTAATTATTTATTTAAATATATTTTATATGGTTAACTATAATTGTTTTTTACTTGGTTAAACAATCTACTTTGGTTTTGTGGTGATTGTTTGCTAAAAAGTTTGGTAATTAGGTTTTTGTCACAAGTGCAAAAAATAACAACGTACTTTGGTTTTTTGTCTTAGTTTAAAAATAGTTATCTACTTTAGCATCGTAAAATGCATGTTAATTTGGTAATTTTGGTTTTGTGGTGATTATTTGCTAAAAACTTTGGTAATTAGGTTTTTGTCCCAAGTGCAAAAAATAACAACGTACTTTGGTTTTTTGTCTTAGTTTAAAAATAGCAATCTACTTTAGCATCGTAAAATGCATGTTGATTTGGTAATTTTGGTTTTGTGGTGATTATTTGCTAAAAACTTTGGTAATTAGGTTTTTGTCCCAAGTGCAAAAAATAACAACGTACTTTGGTTTTTTGTCTTAGATTAAAAATAACAATGTATTTTGATAGTTTTTGTTTATGTTTGATAATTTAACTTATAAGTTTATATATGTTGTTATTAATTATGTAGTTGGAAAATCTTCGTGCAATGCTCAACGACCCGACATGTAGGGATAAGCTTTATTCGTTTTTTCAACCCCAAAATAATCGAGGAAACGATGGGAACGAAGATGATGGTATGTAGGGATGAGTTTTATTTACATACGTTGTCACGCTTTGCTACTTGGTAGATTGTAAAAGTTTGGTTGTTTTTTGTAATTACCGGTGACACTAATACCAGGCGACATTATTACTTTTTATATTTGATCGGATGTTATGTAATTACCGGACGACATTATTACTTTTTATATTTAATCGGATATTATGACTTTTGATATTTAATTAATTATAATCGGATGTTTGTTTTGTAATTAGCGTCGACACTATTATTTTTGATATTTAATCGAATGTTGTTATGTAATTACCGACGACATGATTACCGGCAACCAAAATCGTTAATTAAAAAAATGAAAATTGTTATTACCGGCGACTTCGTTATTAGCGGCGACACACCTCATTAGCGGCGACATCTCTCATTAGCGGCGACAAGTTGATCAATAGCGACGAAGCAGTAGCGGCGACTTATTACCGGCGACGCGTCGCCGCTATTACTATTACCGGCGACAACTTGACTTATTATCGGCGACTTTTGTCGCCGCTAATGATCGTTTCCTTGTAGTGATGGAAGAAGGAAGCGATGGCAACAACGATGGTGGAGGATTTTCGTCACTGAGAAGAGGAGCGATTTGGCTCAAGACCGGAGGAGATGGACGAGGGGTAAGCTTGGAAAGTTTATCAGTCAACAACTTTTTGTTTAAGGTCTCGGTCAGATGGAAAAATACTCGTCACTGAGAAGAGGAGCGATTTGGCTCAAGACCGGAGGAGATGGACGAGGGGTAAGCTTGGAAAGTTTATCAGTCAACAACTTTTTGTTTAAGGTCTCGGTCAGATGGAAAAATACTCGGTCAGATGGAAAAATGTGCAAATCAAATAAGCTGGATCAGACTGGGTCAGACAAAAGGTTTGACCGGACCCAGTCAGACCCAAATCAAAGAGGACCTTAGTTTGATTGAATTTCCTTTTTGTTTTTTGTTTTTTAATATATAATGCATGGTCTTGAAATTTTAAATGTATATACGTTTTGAGAGATGGCTCTCTCTTGGTTTTCTGAAAATTGTTATTAAAAGAAAATTGTACCTTAATGTTTGTCTAAAAATTATTTTACGATAAGAATATCAAACCATAGTTGATGCGGTGGGAAGGAGATTTTTAAAAACCATTTGTAGCAAATAGTGTTTAGTCTTAAAATTATTCTTTAGTAGTCCTTATTTTTCTTTTATAAAAGTATTAAAAGCTGCCTTATGTACCATGTCATTTTAGTTTTTTTTATAACCTTTATGATATAATCTATTTAATTGGACTTTTGTGTTATTTTCTATGATTTCCATGTTATACACCAATTGATTGGAATTCTTGTGATGTTTATTTTGCATATCTTTTTTATAGGTTTATACTTATTGGTTTTGATTGTAATTTATATCACCTCCACCAGGCTCATATATATATATATATATATATATATATATATATATATATATATATATATATATATATATATATATATTTTTTTTTTTTGAAGAAAATGGTACAGTATGTTGTTATGTCCCTCCATAATTATTAAACTGGAGACCTACAACTATTGAATGATTACTTTTCTTGCTTGATTCTATCATTACAGTTATATTCATATTATAGAATGACTCTTTTTATGCTTTTTCAAACAATTATGAGCATAAACATAACATAGTACTTGGATGTCCATTGTTTTAGATGATATCGGGTACTTCTCATTCAAGCATGCAAGTGAGTGACTCATTTTTTTAACGAGTTATACCCTACAATTTTTGTTTTGGAAAGGGAAATTCCCTAATGAGGGTTTCCGGGCCAGCTTTTGCGCACCGACTAATCCTCCGCTGCAAACATGAAGCTTTGCCTCATGTCCTGGAGTCACTGCAGGCGAACCTCCATGACCACAAGGGCTGAGTAGTGCTAGGATTTGAACATGGGTCAATAGTTTATTCACCATATCTTCCACATGTTTTACCAAGTCACCACAACCCAAGTGGTTGATTTTTTTTTTTAAATACGAAACAAAACAGTTTTTAGTTATGTTTTTGTAATAATATTTGTTGGTATCAAGACTTGTTGCACATGTACCGTTACCCAAGTGGTTAAGGGTTCAAGTCCTTTGTGGGCACCCGAGGATTCCAAAAGAAAAGTCAAGGGTTGCACAAATATTTTATGGGTTACACTATTAGAAAAAAATCATTTCTAAAGATAGTTTCCGTCACAAAATCGTCAATAAAACCGATGATTTTACACTAAATTCACAATTATCAAACTTTGTAACGGATTTCTAACGAATTTATGACGGACTTTGAGAATTTTTTCACTAAATTTACATTTAACAGAAAATTACATAGTAAATCCGCCCTTGTTTGTGGACATATATATAAATTGAAAAAATTACAAAAATAGTCGCTTTTGCTAATCACTTTGCAGAAAATACCCAAAAAAAAAAATTACAATTTTAACCACTAAAATCGGAGATGGATTAGGATCATATGCGATTTCCCTTCCATACTTGTGAATGTAAAAGCTTATAAAGTGTAGACGTACATCATGTGTTGTATGTTCACAGATAGAAAGGTCCACCTGCGAACGTGAGTGGCCATCTGCAAACGTGAGGCTATAAAAATCATTTTTTTTGGAACACTCATTTTTTCTAGTTTTTTGTTGGGAAAACTCTCTCAGAGGGGTTATGGACGAAAACATGTACTCTCCCAAATAGATTACAAATAAATGATACCTATGTAATCCAAAATTATTATGTTTGTAATCTATTTGAATTTAGTAACGAAGCCTATGTAATCATAAATAATTATGTTTGTAATCTATTTGAATTTAGTAATGAAGCATGTATAATCGAAAATAATTATGTTTGTAATCTATTTGATGGTCGTGAATTTAGTAATGAAGCCTACAACTACACTTTTTATATATATAATTAAAATCCTAATGTAAATTATACCATGTCTATTTTATACAGACAATTTTTTCATATATCTAGTTCATTTGCTATGTTTCATCTAAGAAATACATGTAGAAGAATATAATTATTATTTTTTTGAACGGTAGAAGAAAATAACTAAAACGAGGTAGTTTTGATTAAAACATATTAAAATCACATCCGTCCCCAATCCGAATCTCATTGCTCTCAAAATCGCATCTGCACTCTCTAGTTTTGATTTGGGTTGCAGGCATCTGCATCTCTCAAAATCGCATCTGACCTTGAGTATTGATTCGGGTTCTTGGTGGTTGGTTTAGACAAACTCCGACTTCGTTCTCTCACAATCGCATCTGTGGTGAGTTGGTTCTTCGCATCTGGTTTATATTTCATTTCCTTCTATCAACCTGATTCATCTTCTCCCGTCCGTACTTACTGTTCGTACTTCCTGTATTTGTAATTGAATGTCAATTTCGCCACATAAATAACAACATGACATTTGCGTTTACTCAATACGTCGAATTTGGGCTGTTTGATTATCCAGGGTCTATGCTCTGTAATTTTATGAAGGTTATATTCTGTCCCCTGCTGCGATTGCATTCGATGCAACATTCATATGCTTTTTTGTAATTAATATGTTTGAATTTGTTCCTTTGATTATCAGAGCAGTCTATTCTGTTTTAGTATTGCCAATCTTGGGTATGATTTATGAAGGTAGTCTCCCTTAGTCCCTTTGCTGGTGGTAATTGGGACAGAAGCAAGAAGTGAACTGTTAACATGTAGCAATCAAGCAAAGTTTTTGCAATTTATTGGTACAGACGTGTGTATAATGGGAATCAATGACATGAATTCTGAAGCAATCAATCAAATGAAATTTATGCATCTCCTGAGATGGTTTATCCATTTACACTAGCTGTTTGGACGTATTCTAGTAATCTCTGAAGTCTTAGTACACATTATTCGTTATGCTTGCAGAGATCTTGGGAGCCAAGTGATAAAGCTGATCTTAACAAGACAAAGATCAATAAATAGTTAGCAACAATGGCAGACTATCACTTTGTCTACAAAGATGTTGAAGGAGCATCAACTCAATGGGATGATATTCAAAGAAAACTTGGGAACTTACCTCCCAAACCTCCTGCCTTCAAACCCGACCCTTTCACTCCTGCAGAAGATGAAGATTCCAAACCTAAAACCAAATCTTGGATCGATAACAAGACAGAAGAAGAACTTGAAGATTTAGAAGATGATCTTGATGACAATCGTTTCCTCGAAGAATACAGGTGCTTTCAACTCCCACAATCCTAATCTCATTTTATGGGGACATTAAACTTCCATGTGAGATTCTCATGGTTTCATATTCTTTTCTGTTCTTGAAGGAGAAAGAGGTTAGCAGAGATGAAGCAAACAGTGAAAGTTGCAAAGTTTGGGTCAGTCATTCCCATTTCAGGATCCGATTTTGTGCGTGAGGTATCACAAGCTCCATCTAATGTGTGGGTGGTTGTTATTCTATACAAAGATGGGTAATCACTAATTAACTACTATCTTGTTTGTTATTATTGATTAGCAATTGATTTTGATTATATGGTTGTTAATGGGAAGTTGTGATTGAATAGGTACCCAGAGTGTGGAGTTCTAATGCAGTGTGTGGAAGAACTGGCAACAATGTATTCAGCTACCAAATTTGTCAAGATTATATCAACTGATTGCATTCCTAATTATCCAGATTGTAATCTTCCCACTGTGTTGGTGTACAATAATGGTGCAGTGAAGGCAAATTATGTTGGGTTGCATACTTTTGGTAGGAGATGCACTCCAGAAGGTGTTGCTATGATTTTGTGCCAATCAGATCCTGTTCTTAATGATGGGCTCAATGGTGAAGCTTCTAGAGAAGCTGTTCTTGAAGGAGTGAGGAAAAGGTTTATAGAGAAAGTGGTTACACTGCATGAAAATGATGATGATGGGTCTTCAAGTGATTAACATTGTGTTGTTTTCTGTATGTTTTATGTTAAAGTATAATAGGTTTTGTTTAGTAACATGATCTGAGATTTTATCCCCTTTTAGATCTGTTTGTTTGGCTTTCTTTTGCTTTGTCTATGTTGTTCTGCAACTGCTCTTTCAACTTATTTTGAATGAATTTTATCTATTTGACTGATGGTAGCAAAATTTAGTTAATTAGAAGGTCAAGCATGTTGAGTTTGTGTTATACCTCATATATGGATTAGATATGCAATAAAATGGATAATAAACTAGTCAAGGTCAAGTAAAGAAAGTCAAATGGGTTAATGTTGGGATAAGGGATTTTAGGTCATTTTACATGTTATGTCGGTTTAATAGAGTATAAGTAGGGGTCAGTGCTTGTTAGGTATCTTTGGAAGATAATCAGTTGAGGGAGAGATTACTTGGGAGAGACTTGGCCTTTCAAAATCCAAGAACCCTTTGTATATTTTAATTTTAGTCTATAATTCTACAATTAAACCTTAGTCTACATCAGTTTGGTGTTAAAAGCTAGTGTTGAGGGTCAAAATGTATAGTTGATTTTATGGTATAGCTTTGTTAGGATAACATAAAAGTGCCTAAATGTTAAGCTGCTAGATTGCATGTGGTATATGTTAACATTGGCAAGTATATTGTTGCTTTAGAAGTTTTATATGAACCAAAAATGGTAGCTAAATAAATGTAATAGAAGCATGTTTGGTAGTATATACCAATTTATGGTTTCAATAACATGTTTATACTTGAAAAATTAAATTGTTTTCTACTTACTCCTCCTACTTCATCCTCCTACCAATTCAATGATTGTCATGTGTAAAACACTATTTCTCTTTTCTCATCTCATCCTTTGATTTTGACACTTGTGATGATCTTGTAAGTAGGAGGATAAGTAAGAACATTTAACATGAAGATATTTAACCTCTCTTATACTTTATACATCTTTTGGTAGGCATTAGGATAACATTTGGTAGGTAAAAGTAAAAACTAAAAACTAATAAAAACTTGAGATAAAGTTGCTTGGGTTTGCAGAATGTTTCATTTTGATTTTTAAATGTATAGCATGTGAATGTAGCAAACTAGATATCCATTCTAAAAATGATACTCAAGCTCAATACACATATCAAACATTAGTTTTTAAAGAAACTAATTTATTTATTTTGTACTTCCTACCTATGAAATTTATGCCCCTCATTGTTTTCTTATATTATACCATAAATCAACTAAGATTTGATAATTAATAGATTTTTCATCTTTCATAATTGTTATAAAAAAACAAAAACATAAAATTTTCTTTCATGTTTGATGTTTAAACTTTTTCCCCTTGTATTATAGTTAATCATAGCCTTAGACAAGACCCAACATTTAGTACTTAAGCCCACAATGTCGTGTAATTGGAGGCTTGCACCCTAGAGATCTTGGACCATTCCCCAAAAAAAAAACGATAGCGAATCGGTTTACAATGAGACCGGACCGAAAAATAAAACGGATCGTTTTGAGACTGATCCAAAAATATACCAGACCGGTCCAAGACTGGCCCGACACCTATCGTAGACTAATCTCAAAAAAGACCGGAAGCCAAAGATTATGTATATATCATTTTTTTTGTTAATTGAACATTTTTTTAACCATATATAACCCAACTTTTTTCCTTTTTTTTTCTTTTATTAAACTTTAGTGTATCATATTTAGTAAATCTTAATGTATCATTTTATTATTAATAACATATTTGTTAAAAGAAAAACTCGAAACCGAAATATAAAATATGAAGATATCAAAACCGAACTGAAAAACTCTGAAAATGAACTGAAAAATGCACATATAAAGACCATGAGGCCGAATCGACAAAGACTTAGACCGGTCATAAAATACCTAATCAAAAAAAGTCTCGTCCGAAAAAAGATCAGACCATTCTAAGACTTGTCTCAAATGTCAATTTATTTTCTCCGATCTCAGAAAAACATTTCCTCTACATTGTTTCATGGGTTTGTGACAACTTTGCAAAAAATATAATGCATTAACATATGATCCCGTTCCACACCCTCGAGAATTTTAAGCCACATATCAAAGCACATCTGCCGGAAGATATTCTTGGATGTGAATAGGTGCTTTAGCTTGCCAAGAATATTGACACCAATGACAAGTTTATGTGACAAAATATGAGAAGTATTGAAGCGACCATCGTGATGAATATCAAACAATTTATGTAACTTCAAAAATAAATGTTGGATGGAATATCAAACAAGACCGGGATGGTCTTCACATTCCGGACTGCTCTTCGTATTTCGGAATACGACAGTTCATTTTAGATGACTAAAAAGACGGCTAAACCCAAGGAACAACACAATATATCAGTTTTTAAGTTACTAGAGGGTAACTAATGACAAATAGTAGTTTTCTAAGGAACCACAAGACTTTTAGCATAGCAGTATCAAGTGTTACTCTCTCTTCTTGAGGTCAATGGTTCAAAATTCCGTTTGGACATAAGTGAAATTAGGGGTAGTTTATAAGTATATCAGATTTCTTGTTCCAAATAAAATAGTTTTCTAAGGTTTTGGATACGAATTAACACTCTATTATGATCATGTTATTCGCAGTTTGGGACATGTTCTTCGAATTTCAGAATATATTTTTTGGTTAATAATCCATAAAAACACATAAACAAGTAAACGAAGCAAAAACTAACCCGGAAAATCTCAACATCGTTAGATCTCATGCTATTGTTTACTTTGCCAAGTAAGTCCGAGATGTTTGGAATCTCGATGTGCATTCCAAATTTCCATTAAGTGGATGTCCACTGACTCAGAAACAAGTTTCGAAATGGATCGGGACTACGAAATAACCCTTTATAGAGTCTACGTCGTTTTCCAAAAGAAAAAACCAAGGTTACCTTTTTTTTTTGAAAGGGACTAACATTAATCCAAAAGTATTTATACAAAATTAGACGGGTGTATATAGATTGCTTTTGAAGGTGTTTATGACTTATTCATTTTTCAAAAGTAAATAATATTTAAAAGGTGTTTGAGAAATACATAAATGTTTTTTGAAAATGTTTATGACACATTCATATAAAATATCTATAAACTAATTTAAACATTAAAAAAAAGTTTATCAATCTATAGCTTTTAATCCAAATATTTTTTTAGATTTTTTTTTTCAAAACCTAAGCAATTTGATAAAAAAAAAAATGATTATGGAGTTAAAAATAAGCAAAATCCCAAATACCCACTACAAACCATGTGACGGTTTCAAACGCACGTCGGAGGTTATCTCCCTCAACAACCACATTTTTCTCTTCCCGTACGATGTTATTAGCTGGTTTCGGAAGCGGTCCCAAACTCCCAAACACTTTTTTCAAACCCTTGTCAGTCGGCGGCATCTACACCCTTCCTTTCTTTCTCATTAACAACAAAAATCCTTTCCAAAAATATCATTCATTCAGTTTACCTAATTTTTCCTCCGTATCCGTCAAATCCCTAAAATTTCCCTCCAATTTATTCGTTTTTGGAGAAAGTTGACGCTCCGCCGCTTAATTATCTTCTTTAATCAGGTTAGTATTCCTTGTCATAAATTCAGCATTCCAATATGCAATTCTTTTTACTGTTTTTGTTATTCTCTTCTTAATTTATTCGGTTTACCTTGTCCGGAAAATCTCATATGCTTTTGATTCCTTTGCTAAAAAACTATCGAACGCTATAGTTTGTACTTTGTACGGACATTTACTGAAGCCTTTATCCTAGTTATCCGTTTGTTCTACTTTGGTCTCCTTGTTGATTGCAAGACTGATCTTAGTTGTTTTGCATTCAACTTAACTGTCTTGTTCTACTTTAGCTTCAGATAATTTACATGACCTGATAAATAATGGATCTAAATTGGGTAGCCGAATACCATAACTCGAACGACTAATACTTCTTTCTGTTCTGTTTCAGCCATAATTCCTTTGTCCACATTGCAGTTTTTAGGCATTTAGTTACTCGTTTGCAATTTTATGATGCTACCATTACACAAGATCAATCTTGATTCTTGTGTTAGACATTTGACTAATCACACTTTCATTAAACCATGTGCCTTGTCAACTGTTACAATTTTCATCCACCAATTAGTAGTATATAACAATATATTAAAGAATTGGTAATTGGATAACATAATTACAAACACCTAAGAAAAATTTCATCTACCAGTTAGTAATTGTTGCAAGATTTCTTTCATTCTCTGTCTCCACACACCAATGCCCATATTTAATTTATCACCATCTATATAAGCAGGTTCCTTTCCTTTTTTACCATGAGAATTAGTCAAAGCTAGCGATTGCTATTGCTTTCAGAAGTGTTCTTTTGTTAATTTTCATGTTGGAATTTTGGTGTGAAGGTTGTCTTTAAGAGGTCTTGTCATTGGAGGTAGTACTACATTTGTTAGACACAATGGGTAGTGCATTTAATCCACAAATTTTGGTGGAGAAGCTGACTAAGCTCAACAATTCACAGCAAAGCATTGAGAGTATCCTACTGAAATGTGTTTATGAAGCTATATAATTGTTTAACTTTCATAATTATTAACAACTATCTCATGGTATTTATATTTTATTTTTTAATCCCTAACAATATATATAGCTCTGTCACATTGGTGTATATTTCATATGAACAAGGCAAAACAAGTAGTGGAAACATGGGCAAGACAATTCCATAGCTCTCCACGTGATCAACGCCTGGCTTTTCTGTATCTTGCAAATGATATTTTACAAAATAGCAGGAAAAAAGGTTCTGAATTTGTTGGTGAATTCTGGAAGGTTCTTCCAGATGCACTACGTGATGTCATCGACAATGGGGACGAATTTGGAAGAAATTCTGCTTTACGCCTCGTATGCTTCTCTTCTCTCCATGCTTCTAATCAAGAAAATTATGTAATTCTTTTTTAATTTTTCAGGTCACTATTTTGGATGAAAGAAAGGTTTTTGGTTCACGAGGGCAAGTTCTTAAGGAAGAGCTTGTCAAAAGGCATATGGAAACTAGTAATAGGAATGGGAAGCATTCAGGGTTAAAATTGGTACTTTACTTAATTATCTTTTACATGTTCCTGTATTGAATTGTGTTAATGTTTGCTCTTACTTGTTACTGTATTTTAATCAGAAACAGCCAGCTGGCAGTGGCAATGCAGTGGACAAGATAGTTTCAGGGTATCAAGTGATATATGGTAGTCAGGTCAATGAAGATGCAGTCATCAGCAAATGCAAAAATGCCATTAATTGTGTTGAAAAAGTGGAAAAGGAAATTGGTGGGGATATTAGATCTGGTATTTTTTTTTTCTCATCTCTGATTTTCATCTTATATAGTATATTTCTGAAATATTTACCTTTTTTCTTTTTCTTTTCAAAGTAAATGGGACAGGTGTCACAGATGAGCTCAAGGGGCAGCATGCTACATTGAGGGATTGTATTGAGCAACTTACAGTTATTGAATCATCAAGAACAAATCTTGTGTCTTATTTGAGGGAAGCTCTTCAAGATCAGGTTTGTTGGTATCCTGAAATTGGTGTTACATATTCACATTTTTTTCTTCATATAAATGAAAGCTTCCATGGTTTTATTATCAGGAAATGAAGCTGGACAAAGTCCGAAGTCAGCTTCAGGTATATTACTATTTTCACCAATTTGGGTACTGAAGTATTATTAAAAAAAAAAAAAAAAAAAAAAAAAAAGAGCTACTTACTTACAAAAATGATTGTTCTTGTGTTTTCAGGCTGCACATTCTCAAGCAGAAAAGGCTGATAATTATTGTAGGCAATTGCTTAACCCTAATGGCAGACAACCGCCACCTGTTCCGGTGACCGGAGAACAGTCTGCTCCGGTGATGTACACACAACAACCACCTTTCACCGACCAATCCGAGGACACCAAATCTGCCGCCGCTGCAGTGGCGGCAAAGCTCACGGCATCAACATCATCCGCCGAGATGCTGACTTACGTCCTCTCGTCCCTGGCTTCCGAGGGCGTTATTGGAAATTCACCCTCAAATGACTACCCTTTGCAGAAGAGAACCAAGATAAATAACAGTGAACCACCAGCTCCACCCTTCCAGTATCCAGACCAACAACCGCCTCCACCATCATCTCCGCCACCGCCAATGCCGCCATATCCAGCTCCGGTGTACATGGTGTCGGCTGGGACAGTAACATATGGCCATACCATGAACCAACCGCCACCACCACAACCTATGGCTGGGCCGCCAGTGAATGGTGTTTCTTTGTATACACCGGGAATTGTTCCAGATGGTTACCAGAATTATCAAATGGAAGGTGGTTTTTATAGCCAACAATCAGCCATGTCAATGGCACCTATGTCTAGGCAGTAGAACTATAAGTCTGTAGATGAAATTGAGAATTTTTTGCACATTATTTAGAGATGTCGTTCATTTTTAATTTAACTATTTAAGTAAAGTAGACGAGAGAGTTGAATTTATTTTAATTGATAGTTGAATCGGTTGTATTTGAGTGTTTGTGTATGGAGTTTTTGTTTTTTTTAGTTTTTATTAGATGTATGAAGCTAGATTTGCTGTGATTCTTGTTAACATGTCGTTGGAACGCCGAGAAGTCAACGGGAACGATGGCCAGAAACGGCTGATTCATGTTGAAAATTAATTGTTTGTTTTAAAAATAAATATACAAATTGCTAGTATGAAAGGAATACGTTTCAAGTCCATTTTTATTTTAATGTGTTACAAAAACAATGTTGGGCACTTATGGTGTATATTTGTGATTAAACTTTAAATCATTAACCTTTTTTCATTTTGATTGCATATTAAAACAATATAAAACTTGAAATCTATATATCTACCTATGTTAATAAAAAAAACTTAACCATGTCATATGTCTCTTTTTTTTTTATTTGATTGCATATCCTCTTTAATAAATGAAAGTTTTTTTTGCCACTTGTCACACTTTTATTTAATTTGTCAAATGTTATTTTATGGTTATTTTGAATTAATTTTTTTTTCACATGTCATTTTATTAGTTTTTCTATTTTATTAAATTCACATATTATTTTAATGTAATACTTGCAATAAATATAGTAATAAATGAATATCAATTTTATTAATGAACTTATCTTTTAATTTTAAAATTCCCAAAATTAAAACTCATTAATTTTTTTTTATTTATTTAAGTTATTTGTTTAAATTTAAAAGATAAAAAACATTTCTATTATAATAAATCGTTATTTTTCTTATTTTTTCTTATAAATTCAAAGTTCTAAAATATTTAAACTTTCATATTTAACTTTTTTTTTTAAAAACTAACTCATTTAGTACATGAGTTTCACAACTAGTTAAAACAATATAAAAAAGACTTAATTTTTTTGACACGTGACATCCTTGTAAGCACTCTCATTTTTTTTCCGTCTAAATGATATCCTTATTTTTTGTTTTCCAAATTTGAAATCACATTCAAATTGTAAAGATACAACATATCCTAATATGATTTTCAAATTCTTTTTTATCTAATAAAGAGTCTGTATGATGTAATTATGTTAGATCTTTAATATATCACAAAAAATCAAGGATACATTATCGCATTATCTTTATAGATATGATCATCCTATTAAATTACATTACATTAATTATGTTTAGTTACAATACAAAATAATCTATATTTTTTAGTTGAAATATAATATTCTTTTTTTTGTGTATGTATATCTCTGCTATATATAATTTGTTTATTAATGATTGAATTAATAAATATATTTTATTAATTCAACCACTATAAATATTATATTTATTTAATATTATAAATATACTCATATACATCAAATATTATATATCTTTTTTTTAACAATTATATAATTAAATAATTCTATATCTTATTATATAAATAGACTTATTGTCAATTATGATTTCCACAAATTATAACCTAATAAATATCACATCTTAAAATAAAAGTTAACCATGAGTATAAATATATATATATATATATATATATATATATATATATATATATATATATATATATATAAAAGAGACAACTTATGATATTAATACCAATTAAAAGGGTGAAAACAGTCACAGTTAATGGTGTAATTAACTATACCACCGGGTTAAGTTAAAAAAAAATTAAAATTCGTTAAAATGATCGAGTCGAGTTAGATCAAAATGGTCGATCAATAAAAGTAGTCTACTTTCTGGTACAATAAAACAGAAAAACTTCCAAATAATATACATACGATAAGAAAAAGATTTAATTACACACTACAATTACTATTTTATAAATTCTAACAAAATCACATAATATTTACCACCTCCTGAATCCGGTTAGCCATATTTGACTCGGCTATCCCGACTTAGGATCATTCAACCTTAGCCCTAGAGAAGATTGGCGTAAGAACAAGTTTCTCAAATGGAAATTTCCGGCCAAGAAAATTGTTCATGTAGATTTATTATTTGCATATGCTTTAAACTTATAATGGATTCCGGCAAGCAAACCACTAATTTCAGGCGAGCAAAATGTAAAATACTAATTTCAACAAGAAAAATGTAAAATTTATGATAAGCAAACCACTTAAGACCGTCACATGCGATAAAAAGTGGGTTTATTTGTTTGTTTTTTTTTTTTCATAAAAGAATGTGGGTCCCAGCCTCCAAATGAAATCCCCTTTTAGGCTTTTACCATGTTTTGTATTTTGGTAATAATACCTTTTCAAACCACGCCCTTTTGGTACAAAAATACGCCACACCACCGAAATCTCACTTTCCCACCGCTCATTTCTTTTATATACAATTAGTAAATTATTATGTATACAAATATTTATAATTAATTAAATAATCAAATGTAGTAAAATGATTTTACAGAAAAAAACCATAGGTTGTATGAGTTTATAATTTAAATATTTGGCATATTCTAATTATATAAAAATCAATAAATACTTTTGTATAAACATATGAAATACGAATAAAAGCCTTTAAAGATAATGTTAAGAAAGAAACAAATTTGAAATAATAATTTTCTCATATTAAATTTTGTAGTTAAACTAATAAAATGCTTAAACCAAAAATAAGATATACTTTTTTAATTATTAATAATAATGTCGAAATAAATAAATACTTATTAATAAAATTAAAAGAAAGTGGGTAGATGATGTTAAATTTGTTTTTTATAAAAAACAAATCACCGTATTCAAACTGACTTGCTGACCAGACCAGTACAATAAAAAGCACAGCGAAAGTTGAAAGGAAAAGAAATGGGGTTTCGCATTCATTAACAGTGCGCCTCGAGATCGGGTCTAGGGTTCCTCATCTTCTTCAATTTCCACCTCCCTTCATAGTCCATACTTCATACCATTTACTCATCTCCGGCAATTCACAGTTCACATACAGCTGCTGATCGATTCTTTCACTACAATTCAAAGGTGATTTTAAACCTATGATCCACGGCTTTAGTTTTCATCATCTTCTTTTGATTCCTGGTTGTTGATATTAATAATTGTTGTGGTATGACTTTGTGCAGGTTTTTGATAACATATATTAGTGATTTGTGGAAAAGGTGTGATCCTAGGGCTTCATATAAGGTGTGATATCGTAGGCTGTTCCAAATGCCGGAGGAAGATGTTTTAGAGCTCAAGTTTCGGTTGCTTGATGGATCGGATATTGGTCCATTTCGATACTCTCCGGCTTCCACAGTTGCCATGCTCAAGGAGAGAATTGTTGCCGAATGGCCCAAAGGTTAGGCAGATTTCGGTCTCTTTTGTCTGTACATGCTTTTTTTTTTCCTGATATTTTTACTGCTCAATAGATTACGCCTTTCGATTTTGAGATTCATGTATTTTGTAGATTAGTTAGTGTGACTCTATGACGACTGTGAATTGCCTTTATAAATTCATGTCAATAGCTGTTCTTCAGTCTTTATGTTTTAAGCTAAATGATCTCTGGTTTAAGGAAAAGATGAAAGATGTATGATCCACACAAAGAAAATAACGATAAACATAGAGTACTGTAATCCAACTGTGATGGAGTTTTGAGTTTGTGATTTTTGCAATTCCCACCAGATAAATGAAATCCTAGAGAGCTTGAGCTTATATCCCAGTGACAAAGGGCAAAGGGAAAACTCTTAGTTTTTGCCTTTTTGGGCATTTCAGATCTCCTTTTTTCCATATGTTATACTCTTGGCCTATGAGAAATACGTTAAATCAAAATGAATGGTGGATGATAAATTGCATATTTGTTGGACGTATTAATGATTAGGTTATGTTAAATCATATCTTTTTGAAGATTATGTTTGTTGAATGCGTCCAGATAAGAAAGGCGGACCCAAATCAGCAAATGACATAAAATTAATAAATGCGGGGAAAATTTTGGAAAACAACAAAACTGTTGGGCAGTGCAGAACACCTTTTGGGGAGCTTCCAAAAGGGGTAATTACAATGCATGCTGTTGTACAGATGTCTTTAACCAAGGCAAAAACAGGTAGCTCCTCTTTCCTCATCAATATGTTAAGTGTGATTTTGGTAGAGTGTATTTTCTGAAATGAATAGGTTTTTATGACTGAACAGAAAAAAAGATGGATGAGGCTCCAAAGACAAACGTCTGCGCATGTGCCATATTGTAAGAAGTTATTGAGTTTGTTTGTTGGTTGAGATTTATCTGGTGGGGGGCCATTGTTTGGGGCTCTGTGGAATCAATCGGGTGGTCTGGTCTGGGGAAAATAATGTCATACCATATAATTGTTGCGCAGTGTGGGGGAAAGTTTGGTTGGTGTAAACATATAAAATCCTTTATTGTTGTTGTTATCATGTGTAGTGAGTGTGTGTGTGTGTGTTTTATGTAAAATTTGTTGCTTTAAGTTGCTGTACATTTGTGGCTTCGGCTTCAGTGAATACAAGTAATCCTCATTGGCTTCTTTTCCTCTATTAAATTCTACACAAAACTAGTAATGTTTTGGAATCCAGAGGTTGGCCATATGCTTTTTACTCAAAACTTGAAACAGTAAAATCCCAATTGCAATCACGTTTTTAGCTAACATACAAATTTATAAAACACTAGCATTGTTGCTTAAAATCATGGCTCTACCCACACTTGCTTAGGCAATGAATTCCCTCCTCCAGATAATCTTGCCTGCTAATCCAAAATTCAGGTGCATCCTGCAAAAAATCAACATATATATTAATATTACACTTGAGTATCTATCTATCTAATCAATCAAAATTCAGGTGCATCCAATAATGAATGAAAGAGCACCTTCATGATTCCAGCAAGTACTGCACCCCCAAGGTACACCATATGCTTCCTGCGTGGTGGATCTTCAATACGCAGCCGCAATTTCTAACATACAAAAATAAGTAATTAATCAAATCAATCACTCACACAAATAATGTGTATTATATTATATGATCCAACAACAAATAGTACCTTCAATCCGACTTTATTGCCCTTCAATACAACTTCAAGATAACGATCCAAGATTTCTTTCTCTAGTCTGTATATATATAATATAACTACTAATCATGAATTCTAAAGAAAATGCAAAATATGTTGACCAATTTAATAATACAAGAGACTGGTCAAACCACATCAAGGATGATGATGTATTACCGACTAGGTAATCCTGGATACATTGTGCTCCCTCCACTCAAAACTATATGCTGGTAAAGCTGCAAAACATACAATCACACATAATTTCGCCATGTGTTCAAACTATATAATAATAATAATACTGATAGGTGGTTTAAAATTGTTACCATCATACGGTTGTCAATATCCATTTCCTGAATACAGTGGAATACCATGTCAGCAATTCCATCACCTTCAACATCTATGAGCTCCTGTAAGAACCAGTTTACAACATTAACATTAACATTTATACAAATGCTATTATTAATTCAGAAACTAAATACAAAAATATACCGGAGTAAAAAGAGCTTCTGGGGCCTGAAAGCGTTCAGTACCAACTTTGATAACCCTTCCATCTGGCAGCTGATGCATTTTATAACATTCTCAATAACAATTAACGACCTTACTTCCTTATATTATAAACTATGGTAACTTACAGTATAATTCTTAACAAGAATGGTGGTCTCAAGTCCCAGTTGATATTCCCTTTTGTAATCATAACTGCAACAAACCAAAACTTATCAAAAAAAAAAAAAAAAAAAAAAATAGCATTGTAAGTTCAAATAAAATGTGGATTCATGAATGTACCTAACATAGCAGAGCTTCTCTTTGATATCTCTAACAGTTTCAAAATCAGCACTCTTATTCATTGCATAACTTCATATGATAAATTAGTTTTCAAGTCTCAGTACCACATGTACAATCATAATAACTATTACTATAAAAATAGCACCTTCTAGAAAGTAGAAACTACTCACCCTCTCCTAAGCAGTAAATCAACAAGATATGTTGTTATATGGCGTCCAGCAACATTCATTCGTTTAGTAAGATGAGGAAATGAGTAGCCATCTACAACAGGAACCTTAAGAAACATGATAATGTTAGAAATTAGGGTTACTAATACTGTATGTTAGAGGCACTAAGTAGTGGTAAATACTAAATAGTAATAGTTATTCAACTGCTTACCACATGAGTGACACCATCACCAGAGTCGATGACTAGTCCAGTAAGTAAACCTGTTTTGACATCAAATCAAGATTAGGTAAATAAAATCCAAGTTAATTCTTGAATTCTTTGCAAAGTTGTTTCAAAAGGAGTCGTATATAACATTAGAATACAATGTTAAAACAGTTTGTATTTGGATGAAGACACCAGCAAAAATGCAAAATTCATGTCATGTCAATTTAGAGGAAGCAAAATTGAAGTCTTATAAACCTTTACCCTATAAGCACCTTGAGCATACAATGTTAAAACAGCTTGTATTTGGATGAAGACACCAGCAAAATTGTACTTCTCAAACATAGTCTCCACCTAAATCAAGGTTAATCCACAATCAAGTTTGCATACTGCATTTGAAACTGCAAATCGAAAATCATTTTTACGAGTATATTGTTTGCACATACCATCTTTTCCCTGTTTTTTGAAGGATTGAGAGGCGGATCTGTGAGCAAAATGTTACATTCTGATGGATCCACCTGCAAGAAGGAAATATGGAGGACTTTTTATAACAAGCAGCAGGTGCTAACTGCTAACTCATCAAGTTCTCAAACAACATATCAAAAGGCAGCAGACACTCACCTTGAGCTCATTATAGAAGGCATGATCCCAAACATGACCCATATCATCCCACTTTTGCACAATGCCATTGTTGACAGGATAAGATATATCTAGTTGATGTCTCAAGTTCAAACAGGTTTCACCAACAACAATATCCTGTTATGAACCATGGATAAAGGAAGCATTTCTGTTATTAATGATCACTTGATATGCTAATGCTACAACGTACAAATAGATAAATACCAGTGAAACAAGGGCTAGCACTGATCAAATGAATCAAAGCACTTATATAATCATCAGACCTTTATACGCAAGTGTTCATTGAGAAGAAGAAAAAAAGGAGTATATTCACCTTCAACTCTTGTTCCAGGAGAGTTTCTTCGTATCTCAACATCGGCCTACCCACCACACAAGGAAATACCGATGTCGGAAAATTCTCACCAGCAAAACCACATTTGACATACTGCATTTTAAATTCAGCAGTCATAAAATCACAAAAATTGATATTCCATCCATCTTTACTTGTTTCGAGACAAGATAGTGCATAAATTTAGTGATGCAGTTGCAATTCATGTCAATATTGTTTGCCGAATCATTAAAAACCGGAAACATCTTGATGCTTAAAATGTTCCGGTCTGAATAAAAAGGTACCAAAAATATAAGAAAACAGATCAAGGACGCAATTTTTCAACAATTGACTTTGAAGATAAGCAGTGGATTCCAACGAATAGATCGAGATCACTAAAAAATGGTTAATTAACGAGACGGTCAGCTTACCCCAGTGCCATTGTCGCAAACGATGACCTTCTTGCTGTCCATTTAACCTCACCTGAGATGAAAGGATCAACGGAGACAGCAACGGCGATGACGATGGATCCCTTCTTTTGTCTGGATTAGGAATTAAGATGGAAAGCTTCAGGAGTTAAATCATCATTTGTGTTTGTTGCTAATCTGCTTTGCTTTACTTTGCGTATAAACTCAGGCTATGAGTAGGGATGTCAACGGACCAAACGGGGCGGCTCCCGAAATCCCTTGTTGCCCCCGCTCCCGGTCCCGCCCCCGGATCCCCCGCTTACATAGCCCCGGTCTCGCCCCCGGTTACCTCCATCGCCCCTGGTCCCGCCCCCGTTCCCCCGGTACTCTCGGTTTATAGTCTTAAAAATGGATTTTTTTTGCTAAAAAATTGCTTTGTTTTAGGCTAAAAATACTATTTTTAATAACTTTTGTATATAAACAAACATGTAAGCCCTTGATAAATCAAGAATTGATCAAACATAAAACATCACTAAAGTTATAAACATATATATATTTTTTATATAAATATAAACGGGGCCCCCGCGAGAGTACGGGACAGAAATACTCACTCCCGCCCCCGGTCCCGAAAATAGACGGGAGTTAATATCGCCCCCGCCCCCGCTCCCGCTCCCGAATTTTTTAAAAAACTAGTCCTGTACGGTATCGGGGTCCCACGGGAACGGGGTCCCGCGGGGGTTTTTGACATCCCTAGCTATGAGGTAAGTCGCTGCTGTAGAACGAAAACCCGCCCAACTCGCTTACCGGGTCTATCCAACGGAAAATGATGAATTTGTTCTCATTTTGATCACTTTTTACACAACATACAATAGAATTTGTTATTTGGGTTCACTATAACCTTTACCTTTCTTTTGACCGGTTATCATATGTGATCAAAGGGTTATAGTGAACAAAAACAACAAATTCGATGATATATTGGTAAAAAAAAAACCAAATAAAAACAAACTCAACAGTTGGTTACCTCCTGAGTCATTTTCCTCAAAAAGTTAAATGAAATTAAAGCTGCAAAAGTATCAAAGACTGCAACATTCTTAGGTCATAACGTACATGAAGAGCGTTTTGGAGGGGTAGCTTCGTCAAAACATGATCTATGTTATGCTTACTGCGGTTAGCTGTCAACAACTCTCTGCAAAAGGATATGATTGTGTATGAGATGTATCTGCAAAAGGATATTACTGTGGTTAGCTGCCAACAACACTCGTTTGTAGACTTGTCCAGAATCCATGATACGATAAATCATTTGATTGGAAATGTAAATGTACTCACGAAATGCACCTGCTCAATCAAGATTCCCTTAATAAATATTCATGTGCATTATAAAGTTGTACATGTATGAATAGTGTTCTTTTGTGGGTTATGTTTTGAAGAGAAGCAAAAATGAATCTCATAAGTCATTAATATAAGCATGAGATGACGTGGGATTTTCTGTAAATGAGTAAAGGGAAAATGACTCAGGAGGGTAACCAACTGTTGAGTTTGTTTTCATTTGGTCCCTTTCCTTTTTTTGTGCCCAATATACCATCGAACTTATTGTTTGTGTTCACCATAACCCTTTGACCGGCTATCACGGGTGATAGTCGGTCAAAAGGGTTATGGTGAACACAAACAATAAGTTCGATGATATATTGGGTACAAAAAAAAGGGACCAAATGAGAACAAAGTCAACAGTTAGTTACCCTCTAGAGTCATTTTGCCCTTTATCCAACGGCTTTTTTATGCATCTGGTCTAAGGACTACGAATTTGTCTGGAATTCTGGATCCAGTAATATTTAATATTTTGTCTCGGCCTTATAAAAGGCCGATTATCTAATCGAGCTGAAACCTAATTTAGAGATTCTGATTTGGTTTTCATTTTTGATATTAGACCAACCGATATGCCCTTCATGACGATGGTCGTGGTCTATGTGGCCACGAACCACAAACACAAATACCAGCCCAGGTGTTTGTGATGACCTGTGGTCGTAGTGATTTGTGGTCCATTAAACAAATGACAACGACCAATCAATGCAATTTACTCTCTTGACCATTTGACTAGCCGTTGAACGACAATTTTTTGAAAAAAAAAATATTATTATTTTTCTAAAAACAAACATTTACCTATAAATACCACAATACATAACCTAATTTTTTACACCATTCTTCTCTTTCTCTATTTACCTATACAATTTTGCTTACAATCCAAATATCATGGATTCCAATCAAAATACACCACCAAACTATTAAAACCGCAAGTTCGATAATGCTTTTGTGTTAGATACAACTCTCCGCCAATACCCGAAAAATAGAATCACATCAAGGTGGTTTTGTGAATTTACTCCAAAGTGGTTCTCCTATCCAACAAACTCAAAATTTTCAACAACAAATGTAAGCCTTCCCACCCTATCAAAAACAATTTCAATCCGGTTTCGTATACCAACAACATTTCCAACCATTACCTTCACAACCACAACCTTCACAAACATAACCTTCACAACACCATTTTTCACCCCCTAATTCGTTAGATTTTGTAGCAGAAACACAACCTTCACCACCACCCCCAACCAAAAAAAAGGAAAAAAAAATGTTCGGACCAACCCAACCGATAGGGTGTAATGGACAATAGAGGAAGAAGAGAAGTTAGCACAATCGTGGGTATCGGCTTCCCAAGACCCAATAGAAAGAGATAGTCAAACCTATAATTTTTTTTGGCTAAAAAAGTTCGAAGCGTGTTCTATGGTTTAATGGGAAGTGAAAGTCAAAATCCCGACCAAATTAGTTCGAAGTGACACAATTTGAGGCTAAAATGTACCGAATTTGGTGGAATTTACTACAATTGTTGTAACCTACACAAAAGCGAGTGTAACATCCCAAAAATAGAAGGTAAAATTTTCATTTTTCCAACAACCAAAATCAATCATTCAATCATTAAAAAGATAATCAGAGTATAATATATTCTCAAAACATTATAGTAAAGTCATAAATAGATAGTGCGGAAAAACTCTAGGGGATGCAATGCGATCAAACGGGCCATTCCCTTTAGAACCACAAGTACCTGAAACATTTAAATATAAAACTGTAAGGACAAAGCTTAGCGAGTTTCCCAAAATATCACAAACCATACATAATAGTTGGCCAACCCTAGGGGTATATTTCAACCCATGTGAACGTTATGATCTAACCATAGTCTTACAATCACTTCTCTTGTTGCAGTCGCACTGCAGTTTTTCCTGCCATAATCCAACCATGGTCTTCCACAAGTGTTGTAATCCAACCACAACCTTTCATATAATTGTTGTGATCCAACCACAATCTTTCATGTAAGAGTCACAAAGACAATCTAGCATCCTACATAGTATAGTGAGAAGACTCACCTCACAGTTGAAGTCGAAATACCAAAGCTCTCACAGATGGAAAGTTGGTGGTACACACCATCTAATGAAACATTCAAGGTCAAACCTTAGTCTACCCTATAAAACTAGAAATTTGACCCAAAATTCAACCATTTCAAAAAGTCAACGGTTAACACTCACCACGTGGGGCCAACCAAAGGCCACATTGTGGTAGCTAACGACAATGCAGATGAGAAATCCTCATTCACCACATCGTGGCGAGCATCTTGCCACATTATGGTTTCTGCACTTGGATAGCTTAATAGATTAAGCCCTTTGCTTAAACTTTCCCGAAAGCTTCTTGGGAAAAGGTTCATAAAAATCCAAACTTTATGGACATGCATGACCCATACATGTCCTTCAAACATACATGGACTGGATCTCATTCCTTATAGCTTCCTCAAATTTCGACTTATAGGGCTTTCCATAGCTTTCGATAGCCGATAGACTTAGATCTCAATCTATCAGTGACTCCTTTCCCATGTGACATGGAGTCAAAGAGATCCATGACGTCTTCTATTAGATCCATGTGGAAGAAGTATAGAGATGTCATTTTTCTTAATAGGTTTTAACATCTGATTAAGTGTTAGTGTTTTTCTTTAGGCACTTTATAATTGATTCTTGAGTCTTATCAAGATCAATATAGCCTCTGCATATTCTTTTTGATTTACACAGGCCAAGGAAGCCCCTAGCTGTGTAGTGAATCTTTTAACGATTCATCAGGCGAGATAATTTTCCCCTGATAATCATGGCCTAGGATATGTGAGGATTGGTAGGAATAGATATGTAGGAATGTAAGCCTATATGGATATAGTATGGTAATGGTTGGTTTTGCAGGTATGATAATTAAGGAATATTAACATATCAATATTGTGGGATTGAAATACCTATGTACCTCACCAGGTTTCCCCAACCTGACCCACTCAGTTTTTATGCATCACAGGTAGGGATGAAAGTAGGTCCAAACCCGGACCGGATAGACCCGGACCCGGAAAACCCGAAACCGGTTAACGGGACTTTATAGAACCGGAAATCGGATCGGTATATAGGAACCGGTTCCGGGTACAAGACCGGGTAAAGTGGGTCTGGAACCGGAAAACCCGGAAACATCAAAGTGGGTAGGTAGGAACCGGATAAAGTGGGTTTAGACCCGGAAAAACCAAAATTTTTTGGTAATTATTTACTACTTAGTGGGTTGAACTTTGAAAATTTTCATATTGATATCCCGACTTTGGGGGACTGTAACTCATTGAATATGAAACCAAAATTGACAAAATTATAGTCTAAAATCATGTACAAACTCTAAACTACACTCTGGAAAAAACCGCATGTCAATCCGACTTTAAACGAATGAGATATGCATGTGTTAACATTTTCACAGAATACAAAGTACAAAAACAAATAGTTGAAAAGTTGCAAATTTTCAGTTTTGATATCCCGACTTCGGGGGACTATAAATCATTAAATATTAAACCAAAATGACAAACTTATAGTCTAAACTCATGTACAAACTCTAAACTACAAGTTGGAAAAAATCACATGTCAATCCGACTTCAAACGAATTAGATTTGCGTGTTTTAAAACTTTCACAAAATACAAAAAAACTGAAAAACTAAAAACTTTTAGCTTTGATATCTCGACTTTGGGGGACTGTAAGTCAATGAATATAAAACTAAAAATGGCAAATTTATAGTCTAAAATCATGTACAAACTCTAAACTACATGTTGGAAACAACCGCATGTCAACCGGACTTGAAACGAATGAGATATGCATCTTTTAAACGTTTCACAAAAAATCGGTTCCGGCCCTAAAAGTGGTTCCGGTTCCTAACACCAGTTCCGGTTTTTAGACCCGGTTTAC